AGGGTCTTCTTGCGAACCACGTGGATGTGGCGCCGATCGCTAGACCGGCCGCACCGCCACAGAATGGCCACCAAATGCGGTCAAACGTCTCGTTGCCTTTGGGGACGCCTTCGAACTTGAAGAATGGATCCAAAGGGTGATAGCGATCGCCCAAACGCTTCAGACCCACAAAGTCTTTCTCGTCGTCCCAATCCTTACGGTTCTTGAGCTCATTATAGCGTGTCTTCCAATCGACGTCTGCCAGAGAACTGGGATTATCATTGGGATAGAAGGGACGCGTCCTCTCCGGTTCCGATCCAATCTTGTGCTCCATTTGTGGCACTATTTGTCTGCAAGACTTATGGACTGTATGTCAACCACAACAACACAATCAATGTATGTCATTGACTGCCACGGAGGCAGTGCTGCCATCTATCGTATCAATCGCTCGCAACAGTACATGACTGACCACTTGTGGGCACCGGTAGTGTCTCCCACCGTATAGTAAGGCACTGGAGGCGCCGGTTTGGCGATTGAACGGTTGATGGCATTGATATGAATGAACAGAAACATTGGTTTAAAGTTTAAAAGAATTTTAATCAAAATGTAGACATTTTGCCGACAAATGAGTCTCCAATGAATTAAATATTAGTTTAGTATTTGTGACAAAGTCTTCGAGGAATTCATAAATACATTGAATCTATGAAACAATTAGTGTTGAAAGAGACTAAAGAGTCTATACTGTCATTGAATTGTAGTCAACATTAAGTACACACAAGAAATGTTATTATTATAAGTTATAATTAGTTAGAATGAATACAATGTATTGATTATTTGAAAACAAATCCATTGAATCTATTAAAAGCATTACAACCAAAATCTGCCCGAAAGTCAGTTTTAATGAATTAAAATCATATGAAATGAACATTTATGTGAAAATGTGGACTAAATATCGGGTGAAAAAAGGAGACAAAACCTATTGTTTTTTATGAGTTATTATAATAATTGTGTTACAATTGAATGAATTAATAATAGAAGAGAGAAGTTATGAACAAAATTGGAGTCCAATGAAAAGGCGCTCCGACCGGTGGCCCGACTCGTGTGGTCGTAGGCTTAGTCGTCATCGTCGTCGTCATCATCCTCGTCCTCCTCTTCTTCCTCCTCATCGTCATCCGACTCCTCCTTCTTCGGGGGGGCTTTAACTGGCGGCGCGGGTTTGCCTTTCTTAGCCTTATAGGCCTTCACCTCCTGTGTGGGACACAAGCACAGCAACAGTGAGTTAGCAGTGGGTCTGTCAGCGAGACACCCGTCCACCCAAACCATACATACCTTCTCATAGCGAGCCTTGTCTTTGGCGGCCAACGCCTCGAATTTGCTCTTCTGGTCTTCGGTGCACTCATTCCATCGACGGCCCAACTCTTTGGCCACCTCTCCGACGGTCGCGTCATTCATAGTCTCCTTAACTCTCGGGCGCTCGTCGTTACAGAACCAGAAGAAGGCCGAAAGGGCTCTCTTGGGAGCGTTGGGGTCTTTGGTGCGCTTCCTCTTGCGTCCGCCCTTCTCGCCCTTCGGGGGCTTATAGTTAGCCATCTCTCCGTCGTATCGCTTCTTGTCCTTCTCGGCCAACACGTGGAAGCGGTTCTTCTCCTTGTCATTCATGGTCTTCCAGCGTTCGGCGCACTTCTTCGAGAACTCGGCGAACACGACGTTCTCGTTCGGGTGCTTCTTCTTGTGCTCCTCACGACACGTCTGCACGAAGTAGGCGTACGCCGACATACGGCCTCTCGGTTTGCCCGGTTCCTTCGGCATCACTGCAACTAAAACATATCCGACGCGTCAATATATGGCTCATTAGTGCGCCTATCAGTGGTTAGTCAGCAAAGTGTGGCCATAGAGGCACTCATTAAGAGACAAAGTATGCATTGGATGTGTTTCAGCAAAAGCCGACAACTTTTCCCGCAAACGGTCACTAAATTACAAGCGCTATGTGTTTGGCGCCAAATGCCTACCACTGCTATACAGCGTCTGATCAGACATTTTGTTAATTTATTTCTTGTAATGTCAGCCAAACATCGAGTCCTTGAACCCAACCTATAGTCAGACAACACGTCGACATTGTGTGGACAGCGAGACAAAGAGTTGGACCCATTGGGCCACTCTTGAGCACTGCATGCAATGGCAATGTATGCTAACTAATGGCATATCTATAGTCCGATATATGAATGAAATGGCATTCAGTTTAATATGTTTTGGACCAATACCTCAATGTATGCAATATATTCACTGCAGTATTACGTTGTATTGTATGCTATACTATGCTATGCTATGTCTACCAGTGCTGTACAGTGTGGTAGTGGTGCTGTAGTGAGCCTTCTCTATGGCTGCCTATGCCTTACTATAGCCATAGCCTAACACTGCTGTCATTGCGTTCAACAAAAAGCCGTTGTATTGAAGCAAAGCCTATGCCTTCTCTACCATTGCATTGAATGCAGTGAATGCAGGCATACATACAGACATACAAAGCGCGCACTCATCGCACCGACATTGGGGGTCATTGCGGGGCCCGACCACCACTGGCCACCATTTTGTCCGCACCCACCCATGCATTCACATGACATTTGGCCATATGTGCCGTACGGACACACAAACACACATACAATCAGAGTTATGGCCACTAATGTGACACTCAGTCACTCATACGCTATGCAAGCCATACGACCGCAGAGTTTAGGTTAGGTTTAGAGCGCTATTGCTATGCATTGGCTGTCAATACAAAGACTATTGCGACAAAAGAGTGGCAAAGTATGGATCAACTGATTTGATGGCAAATCGCGAATATACAAAACACAATTCAATGAACGGGCCATCAATGACCAGATACTCACATGAATCTCAAATTGATTTGTTGGGCGAAAACAAAATTGAAAAGTTGGACGAAGTGTGCGATGTATTGACTGTACTGTAGTATTGAATGCAATGGCAATGCAGTCTCTATGAGAGTCTCTATGAGAGTCTATGCTTGGAGTGAGTGTTCACACAAATACACACACAATACAAATCCAATGCAATCCAATGGGAAGCTATGTTAGGCTATAGAGACATAGTATTACCACTTATAACATACACTCAATAGGACTCGCATAGAGAGTATACACATTCATAGCATTGCATGTATTGGTTATATCGCTGCATAGACTCACAGCATAGAGACTAGCAGTCAATGGCATCACAGCCATTGGTCCGTTCAAACGGACCGGCATTTCCAACCAATCAACACACACTTACACCCCATCACACCGTTCACACCATACGACTAACACACACAACCAATTCACCCCCCAATACACCCCCAATACACACACCATGTGCTGTATGCAAGCACTACACCCCTCTCACTGCCCACTCATACTCGCGTTATTGATGAGTGAAGTGGTGGCTAATGCTGTCAAAGGCCTCAAAGTGGCCTCAATCACCATTTGAGCGCCAATTATGAATACCTGTGTCATTACCTGCACCCACGCCCATTACCCCCACACCCCACACCCCCACCAATCATAGTAGTGATAGCGGTGTTGAACATGTGATACATATTTATTGTGATTGACATAACAGTTACAACAATAAGGGTTACATTACTGTGAATGACTAGTTTGGCACACATTCACACCTACTGTACACTACTGTACATTATAACAGTTAGACACTAGACTAGTCACTAGCCTACCGCACTATGATAGCCGTAACAATAACCAGAGTAGACTGCCATATAGATGACTATGTACATGATGTACATGATGACCAGATGACCATGGTACAGGTACAGTAACGGTAACTCAATGGTCAATGGCTATTGCACTTGAGCACTGGGCGTGTGTCACACGTTGGACTCGGACTTGTTGTCCTGGTCTTGGTTGTCCTCCTTGTCCTCCTGTTCCTCACCGCCCACACCGATGGCACCGATGAACTCGAGGTACTTCTTGACAATGGAGGGCCAGTTGATGACATCGGTGATGGGTTTGGGAGCCTCTCCCTCGTCAGCCATGGAGGGCCCGAGAGTGCGACTCATATGACTGGTGGCTCTGGAGGCGCGTCTCTGGCCCTGAAGCCACTGTTTGGTCGCCACAACACTGGGTCTGTGGGCGAGTGCGGCCGTCGCCAGACCTACCCGTCCCTTGCGTTCATTGCGGATGCGCTCCAACTTCTGGTACGCCATGTAAGGGATGCCGATGAAGACGTTGATGGGCGACGGTGTGGGAGACGTGAGGTTCATATTCCTGATGAGTTTGGCTCTTCCGAACTTCCACTCCGTGTCGGACTGCGCCTGAATGCGCTGATAGGTGTTGGACATCATGGCGATGAGCAGGTTGATGAGCACCACCACCGTCACCATCATGTAGATGCCGAACACCAACTTCATGATCACTTTGGCAATGGGGGGGCTGAGGTGCATGGGAGGCATGTAGTCGGGCTCCACCAGACCGAACAGGGCGTAGAACAACATCTCGAACGTGTCGAGCGGCGACTGGAACTCCTGTCCCACGGAGGGAAGGGTGCCGTTGATGGTGTCCGGCGGCTGGAAAACGGGCTGATATATAGCGCACACATGGAGTGAGAATCCGACCATAAAAATGCCTAAAATGGCCAGAAATCGGAGCAAGTCTTTGATGAGGTCGCGTATGATGACAGCCCAGGGGCCGAACAAGTGGTGAAACGTGAGGAAGTTGAGGAACTCGAGGAACGACAGCAACAGCGCCACTGCCAGCAGTTGGTTGCGTATGTAGAGCATCACTAGACGCCTTTCCTCGTCCAACAACTCGAACACTCCCGATATGATGGCCATGAGGTGCACGATGACGGCTATGAAGCACACGAACACCACCACCACTTTGATGCCCCCCAAGCCGTCCCTGTCGGCCGGGTTCGTGAGCTCAGCGAGGAATACGCCCAACACGAAGGTGGCCAACAGCCACTCGTGCCAATGCGGCCACTGACCCACGTTCTTGTAGAGGGGTAGCCATGGGTTGACTGTCGTGAACGTGAGGATTACGATGAAGAAGATGTGCGACACTAAGTACAGCATAAACTTAATGATGGGTTTGTTGGACAGGCGGTTGCCTATAGGACACGACACGACAACCCAAATGACGGGACACACGAGGAATGAGAAGAAGAGGACGAGGAACTTCCAACCGGCCCACTTCATGTTGCCGATCCACACGTTGGTCAGGTACTGCTGCACGGCGTGCTGGGCCACCACATCCTTGCGCTCCAACTCGATCAGTACGTCGAGAAACTCCGTGCCCTTGTGGTCGACGGCCCTCAGGAGTCGGCCCGCGTTGTTAGTGGTGGCGGCGATGGACAGCAGGTCTGTGGCGATTTGGTCGCAGTACTCGGACGCGGCCACCAGATCGCGGGTTCTGTCCTTTTCCTTCTGCGACAGGTTTTCGTAACATTTGGCTAATTTGACAGCAGTGTCGATGGGCGCCGGAGACACTAATATGAACTCTTGGATCGGTTTGTTCTCGTGTTGTTTGGAACACACCATCAAATCCAACAGAAACTATACATTCAAATACATGGCATTCACTACATCTGCTATCACTACCTGTATATATCACTCACCGATTTGTCTTCCATTAGACTCAGAGCGTTGTGTTCTTTCTTAAAGAGATAACTCAAGACCTGGAAATGTCCGGCACCTGCAGCACAGCATAGAGGCACTCGACCGTCCTTTGCTCGCAGTGTTGGGTCGGCCCCGCTATCCATTAGAAGTTGCACCACCTCTAGGAAGCCATGTCTGGCCGCGTAATGCAATGGAGACCACCCTCTCTGTAGTCATACCAATGAACAATGTATTGAACAAATAATGTGATCACTCAATGGCCATACATTATCCTGAGTGTTGATCTGAGCGCCCTGTCCTAGCAACAGGTTAACCATATCCCGGTGCCCATAAGATGCAGCTAAATGAAGTGGTGTTCGGCCGTATTTGTCTGCTCGGTATAACTGCTCAGTAGTGCGACTTATAAGAAGACCGGCAACAAGTAGGTGCCCTCCCTGTGCTGCCAAATGCATAGGAATTGTTCCCTAAAGCATACATTAATTAGATATCATTATAATTATGGTTTGAGTTGTGTATGTGTGTTGAGTGCAACTGACCACTACTTCTGTAGGCGCGTCCACTGTCACGCCCTGACTGTTGAGTAGCAAACGCACGACACTCTCGTGACCCGATTGTGAGGCCAAATGCAATGGAGTTATGCCGTACTTGTGCGCACAGGTATACAGGCTATTAGTCGCTGACAATTGTCATTATTGAGTGCATGGCTTACATCACCGCTGGGATCGATGAGTGGGCGTTCACTCTTGATGGTGGCGGGCACTTGAGTCAGCATTTCGCCCACGAAGTCTGCCTGTCCAAAGGCCGCCGCCACGTGCAGTGCCGTCAACCCAATCTAATAACGAGCAAATGCAATTAGCAGGGTAATACATATTACAGTCATGGTGTACTGTACTGGCACTGACCCTTCTCGAGCAAACCTTCCAGTGGGCAGTCGACTGTTCCTTCAGAGCACTGAGTACTTTGATGTGACCGTTCTTTGCCGCTTCGGTGGCCAACAAGCAATCACTTATTGTTAGCATTCGTATAGAAGTACAGGTAGTAAACAATTAATGCAAACCCAAGTGCAGTGCTGTATATCCCTCGGCGTTCTCATCGGTAGCCTTAGCCCCCGCTTGTAATAACACGCGAACCACTTCGACGTGTCCGCCTTCAGCTGCCAAATGCAAAGTCGTTGACTTTGTTTTCTGATTATATTCAATGTTCAACATTAGTTCAAATATTGTTTTCCAAGTTTTCAATTACCGATATCCTGGCATTAATGACAGACTCCTGGTTCAGTCGCATCAACTCCCGAATGACAGCCACACTCCCTTTGGCTGCCGCTATGTGGGCACAGGTATAGCCATTCTTGTTGGGCACCGACAGTCTCTCGGGGTTGTGCTTAAGAAACAGTTTGAGTACTTCCGAGTGGTCGTGCTCTGCAGCCAAGTGTAATGGTGTTTGAGAGTGCTGTTCATACACAGAAACTAATGACAGGCCGTGTACAGTAGGTATGGTATACCATAATAGCCTACATTGTCTGTGGCGTTCACGTCGGCCTTCATAGTGAGCAATGTATTGCATACTTCCAACTGTCCGTTCTCTGCCGCCAAATGCAGTGGCGTTTGCTTTGTCTGCCAATACATTCAATGTATGTATTTATTAGACACTACAAACCATTCTATAGGTCACTACAGTATGTCATACTATATGGTGTCCAGTAATTCTCAATTGTCTTATTCTTGACTCAACAATCTTCACTATACAGTGTAATGTTTATTCTTTATATCATCATATTTTAGACATTTTACACTTACAGTTATATCTAACCATTTTTGTTATTTATTCTTTTTTATTTAATTTTTTAATTTAAATCATTTATAAGCATACTTCGTAAATATTAAAAACTTATTTTTTCAGTACTCATACTTATAAATACATTTTCTAAAAATATATTTTTTATGACTGAAAATAGTCATTTATTTTAGTTTTAATTAAAATATCAATATTTATAATGAGAGAGAGAGAGAGCAAGTGATGGCAAACCAGAGTGAAGGCGTCGAGTAGAGCGCCGTGAGATATGACTAGCTGTTTGACAATGGAGTTGAATCCCCTACGTGCAGCCAAATGTAGCGGGGTCATCCCATGTTTGTTTCTGACGTTGACGAAGGCATTGGAAGCCAACAATATATCGACCACTTCTTCGTGTCCCAGTTCTGCTGCGATGTGGAGCGCCGCCTGACCTCTCTATAGGACCAGTCATTTGTCAACAAATTAGTGCATCCAATATAACAGTATATCTGGGTTTTATCATTCATATTATATCTAATGATTGTATCGCACTGTTTGTAACTGTTGTGTGACTTAACTTCATAATTTGTAAATATGCTCTTTTTGGCTATAATTAACAAACAATGAATCCACGGTAACATTGCAGTTCTTTACTATAAAATATCAGTTTATATACAGTATCATATTGATTGTAAATTTATAATAATATTATTTGATAATTGACTAAAGTTTCAACATAGCATTTGCATTACAGTATATACTATATAGTATATTAAGAGAAAGCTCATAGTTTGCAAAGAATGTAGTCATAAATTCTATGAAAACTTAAACAGAATTGTAGAAATACATCATTAACTGTGTGAATATTGTCAATTTGATTGAATGTATGAATGTAGGCCTCACCTCATCGAACACGTCTACCCGGGCGTTCTGGTTGAGGAGCATCCGAATGATGTCTGGGTGTCCCTGAGAGCACGCATAGAATAGCGGTGGCCATCCGTTCTGCAAATTAATCGTATCATTGAATAGTCATTTCCAATGCATTCATTCAATTGATAAGTTCTCATCAATTTTACAATTAGCATATTCTTGTCTACAAATTCTCCTATATTTTACTATACTCTATGTTATCGATAGAGATCATAAGCGACATAAAATGCCAATTCATTATGTTATGATAAAACAGAGGTAAAAATGACACTTCACATAACTTTTAAACCTCTAGTAATGTACGGTAATATAGTATAACAGTTTACAGTGTAAACTTTACACAAATTCTCACTTCTCAGCGATAAATATCATATTTTATCAATATTGCACTGTACTAGGGTATAAGTCATGTAAAGTGAGACTAAATTTAACATGGCCGCAAGCGGTAATTCCTGAACACTTATTAAGTTATATGAATAACTATGTTAATGTATTAATATGTGCAATTAAATTAGGAATAACTTTATGTTAAATAGAAAATAAGTTAATATACAGTAATATCCAACCTTTGCTTGCTTATTACAGGCAATTTGAGCATCCATTGGCTGCAAAAGACTTATGATTTCCTGTAGAGTATTTGTATTTCCAGATTTGGAACACCAATGAACAGGGTTTTCTCCTTTCTATTCCAATATATGGATAATTATGAGGTTTAATAACTTTAAATACAGTATACTGTATACATTTAAACTATTTATGGCTATATTTGTATAAAAGAGAGACAGACTTCTGTGGTTTCGAGCAAAGGGTTTCCCCCTGTCTGGAGTAGGAGTCGCATCATATCCCTGTCCTCATTCTGGTAGTGGGCATTTTTGGACAAAAGGTTGGCCGCATAGTGCACAGAACTCTCGCCATTCTTCATATGAGATAATTATAAATTAGTATAAAATACAAAATTGATTGTCATTTATGAGACTTTGTTCGACTGGTTGACCAGTTTCTTGGCGTCATCCTTGTTGGCCGTTTGGGTCGTGTATTGGATTATATTCTCAACGATAGGGTAGTGACAGTCCTTCACCGATATGTGTAATGCGTTTTCTCCGGTATTGTTTTGAAGGGAAGGGTTTGCTTTGTCTTCGAGCAGCAGTTTAGCCGTTTCGAGGAATCCCTGTCGAGCGGCGAAATGCAGTGGAGTCTCGCCATTCTGTGCCAACCAATTATGTTATGTTTTACTTCAACACAAATGTGATTAATAATTAAAATTAGTTTTACGTCTTCGACGGCATTGATTTGAGCGCCACTTTTAATAAGCATTTCGACACATTTGATGCCATTTTCTATTCTGGAGGCCGTATGTAAAGGTGTTTCTCCATTCTTGCCGGCAGTCAATTGAACGGCTGCTCCCATTCCGAGCAGCGTTTCCACTACTTTCTCGTGTCCCGATTGCACGGCTATGTGAAGGGCCGTAAAGCCTTCCTGTATTCATATAATTAACTTAATATACAATTCAAATGTTTTGTATGTCATTGTAATATCACATACATTGGTCTTGGCGTCAACGCTCTCTCCTTTTTGTATAATTGATTTGACGACTTCTGTGTGACCACGACTTGCTGCCATGTGAATGGGTTTGGCACCAGCCTATTCACCATGGTTATTCATTAAGTATTTATTTCATAATATCAATGTATAGCAATTTATAATCATATACTGTAACTTAAAGTATAGTTGATCCATAAAATGACAATTTGTTATATTATAATAATTAAACTTTTATTAATCTTTTATCTTAAGATATTCTATAGATTCTGTCTTATATAAAAATGTCATTTCTCATTTATAGTCTCAGTCCAATCAAATAACTCTACAGTACAGTACAGTATATTAAAAGACATGTTCAAAATTCGATCAAATATTAAATAAACAAAGAAATTGTGCAACTACTTAATTAGAAATTTACAAGTTACAATTTTGTTCAAAATTTGCTCATTAGAATCCAAATTCTTTGGAAAACTAAGCAATTCTAAAATTACTAATGTATTGAGATTAACTTATTAAAACATTGCGAATAAACTTGTTCAATGTAGTTTGCAGAGCCTATAAAATATTTTGTATACAATATACAGTACAAACATTCCCTTGACAGGCATTCTGTTTCTGTTCTATAATATAATTAACATATAACAAAACACCAGGAAATATAAATTTATATATAATGTAAAGTACAGGTATAGTATTATAATTTATAAACAACGCAATGATATTAATGAATTATATACATTATAATATAATGTATATTATACAGTACTATACTATATTAGTGTTAGAAAGATATTATATGATAAAATGCATAGAATAACACAATTGTATCTTTTTTAATTTAATGAAAAAAGTGAATAATTAGTTAATTTAATGTTTTGACACTTTTATTGCTCAAACATGTACTATATTTAGGACATAAACTTTCAATAAAATACATTACTTTGTTAGGCATATGTAGAGCGACGCCTTTTTTCATAAATACCAGTGCTGTACCCGGATGACCTGCTGCCGATGCTAAATGCATTAAAGTACTGCCATCCTATCCAACAAATGTTCATTTATATCAAGGGAAGAGAGAGAGAGAGAGAGAGAGAGAGAGAGACCTTGGTCCTTTCATGAACGGATGCTTTAAACTTTTCGGTGAGGAAGTCTACAGTTTTCATGTGACCGTTCTCTGTGGCCAAATGAAGAGGGGTTCTCTCGAGTTTGTCCTGAACATTAGGGTTAGCGTTCACCATATGTAGAAATTTAATATATGGCTCTTCACCCATAATGGCTGCTAAATGAAGAGCTGTCTGTCCATCAGCCTATGGTATGGCCAACATTTAAATTTTAAAGTTAATGCATTATAAATGTATTTTATATTAATGGTCCAACACATTGATAAGAGTACATGAGATTATAATTTGAATGAATCAAATGAAGTGGACATACATTCTGTGCGTCAGTATTGGCTCCATTATCGACAAGCAATCGCATCATTTCTAAGTCTTTCTTCTTCATAGCTAAGTGAAGAGCCGTCTCACCAGTTGTGGGCCTTTTCATTGAAGTTTGCTCTTTAGGGATGACATTCAATAATTCGCGACTAACGCCGTGATTACCACAATCCAGGGCCAAAAATAGCGGTATATTTCCATCCTTTTATATGCTTTTTATTAGTAATTGTTGAATATTGTTTTTCTTATATTAGTTATATAGTTAATATCATCTTATATAATTTATACCTGTAATTAATACCTAGTACAGTACATTATACAATATACACTGTGTATTGTATACATATATATTGTCTATAATATTTAAATAAGTATACATAAGGAGCAATAAAATTAGAAGATATTAAATAATATAAAATATGATATCTGTTTGTAACACGCTAACTTATTATAATCTCTTATAATTATTATGCTATTCATAGCCTATAATAGAATAATATTGTAAATAATAATACAATGAATGAATGATTACTGACACTGTCTGGAGTGATACGAACTTCTTTAGGACAAGACTTCAATATAAGTTGCAGTGGTATGACAACAGCACCGGTGGGTTTTTGTGCCAACACGTGAATTGGAAGTTGGTTCTTTTCCTGGTTTGATTTGTCAATTCAAAGAATCAATATAAATACCTATAAAAGTGGATTCCTTGTAATACTGACCCCTCCAGGTATCATAGGGTCTGCTCTGTTGACTAACAAGAGTCTAATAGTGTCTTCTCTGGCGAAAGCACAGGCCAAATGGACAGCTGTTATGCCGTCCTATAACAAGTCAATTGACATTGCTCATTCAATATATAGTTACATAAACATACCTGTACTAACATACTAGTATAAAATCCAATCAAATTATTAGATATTTTCAAATTTTAAGAAAATTTCAAAAGTTATAATTGTATAATATTTTGCATTCATTTATTTGTAAGATTTATAACAGTTAATGCCTGTTCAACAATTTCATATAAGAGAAAATATTTATTCGTTTTAATCTAGAAACACTGTTAATAATTATTATACGGTATAATTTGCATATTTTGCAATTTAATCTGTATTATCAAGGAGGTTTTATTATGCAATATTATCTGATAATGACTAACTCTAGATTTAGCCGAAAGGGTATCGAAATTGATATACAGTACAGTATTCACTTATATTAATACCACAGTATTCTACACTATTTTGTGAGTTAATTACATTTATAAAAATGGGCGAATGGGAGGACACTTCATCGTACGGGCAATGTTTGTCCGCATATTTTACATGTTATTCCCATTCATTTCCTAAAATCTTGGTAACCAATTAGCCATTTGTGAAAATATTTACCAATACAACAACTGTAAACTTTTACTAAACGACAATTTCCAATTGACAAATGTTTCATTTATGCATTTATAAGTCATTCTATGGGGATATTGAATGGGGTTATTGTATGCATATTCATATTATGGTTTGATGGAAGTAGGAAATGCGTGAGAAATATAGTTTAAAGTAATGTTATAAATATCATATTAGGCGAGAGTGTTAAGGCTTAAGAGTAAGGTCATTTTACGCGTAAAATAATTCTGGTATAATATTACGCGTAATTTTACGTAACGTAGCGTAATATTACACTTTTAGTGTAATTTACTAAAATTACAAAATTAATTCTTTTTATTTAACTACCAATAGATTCTTATATCAGAATCAAACCTCTAATGAGTTATTAATTCAGCGTTACTCTTATAGTGATCCACAATAAGAATCAAGGGGGTTTTACTAATTATCAACTGAATCTAAACCAATTAAAATACCTTAATATTCTTATATCAGAATCAAACCTCTAATGAGTTATTAATTCAGCGTTACTCTTATAATGATCCACAATAAGAATCAAGGGGGTTTTACTAATTATCAACTGAATCTAAACCAATTAAAATACCTTAATTAGGTATAAATTTACATATTCTTTAGATATAATGTCAAATTATTTAACTTTTGAGTAAAGAATTGAATAATTTTTGATTTTAATAACATTTTATACTAAAAATGGATCTGGTCATGAATTTTATTTCACGTAAAATGAATTTCGAGGTGTAATATTACCCTGTAAAATGTGTAATATTACTTGCCGTGAAACCTTTACTTAAGAGACATAAATTGATTGACTGATGAAATGAGTCAAACCTTGGCCCGAGTGTTGACAGGATATCCTAAGTCCAAGAGTTGTTCAACAATTTGGATGCGATTGTCTTTGACGGCAAACATCACTGGAGACCATCCGGAGTTCTCTGACACTGCATTCACTTCTGGTTCGATGTTATGTTTGAAGGCATACTTGATGACAGTGTCCACTCCAACCCAATCCCCTTTACGACATAAAGCTATTAACTTATGACTAAAATCTGCCGGCGCTTTGTTTTTAGTGCCCAAAGGGGCCGTCGAAGCGATGGGTTCGTCCAGATATGACAGGTCTAAAAGAGCCGCCGACTGCTGTGACGACGATTTCCTGACGGCCTGTCGAGAGCCACCCTTTTGTCCCGGCGACCGATCTTTAGAAAGACTCCTATCTTTAGAGGACACCTGATTTGAATCCCTTTCCTTTGAAGTTTTCTTGTTTGGTGTTTGTTTTGGTTTGTTTTGGAAGTCTTTTCGCGGAGGAATATCTTTGCGCGACGGTCTTGGAGATGGCACCGGAAGGTCAGGGGCTGGAGCCCTCTCCCTCTCCCTAGAAGGAGAACGCGACGGAGCTGGTGATGGTTTGGGAGTGAGACGAGTTGGTTGTGTTGTTGGTTGTGGTGACTGTTGTTGTGTTTTTGGTGAACGAGAAGGCGATGGAGAGTACATGGGATCCAAACGGACTGGTTTTGGTGTCAATGATGTCGGGGGAAGTGGTTTCGATGGCGTCGGGTGTATGGCTCGAACAGAGTGTTGTGGTGGTGGTGATGGTAATGGTGACACTGGAACCGGTGCTGTGATGTCCAATTGTTGGACAGGAATTGAGACGTGGATTTGTTCGAGAATCTTGGCGTCTGGTCTGGTTTGGCGCCTATGATCTGTTGCTTCAAGTTTTGATCGTTGGATCTCTTGGTGTGTTTCCTGAAGAGTAACGGTTTGTAGTTTTTGAACCGGAGTTACGGGTCCCGAAAATTTGATTGGAGACACCGGGAACTGGCCGTACATATCTTTGGGTGCCGGTGCCTGTCTTTTATCACCATTGAGTCCATTAGTGAGCGTATGGTTTGTATGGTTATCCACTGAATTGGTTGCATCCTTGAGGTCGACCTGTTGTAGCACTTGTATGGGTGTATTGGATGTACGCTTTTTTGATGGCGAGACCTGTAAGTCGGCATAAATATCCTGAGCGATAGGTTTTTTAGGTGCTGTTGTCTGATCAGTGGTGAGCTGTTTGTTTTGGGAGCTTTTGATCACTTTCTTTTCACTACCGTCGCTGACAAAGCCCTCGTCCACTCTCTTATCACTGTTGACCTCCTTTTTTGGCAAACGTTTATCACTTTCTCTTTCACTTTCATCGCTCTTATTCTCTCCATTCGTATTACCATTCATTTCATTCGTATTCTTCTTATTGTCATTATTTGTATTACTCTTAGGACTCAAGTCGTGGTCATTGTTACCGATTGGAGGCATAACTCTCTTCTTCTAATGCCTCAAAACATAAAACACCAAAAACTTATCAAATATTAAATATCCATAAATAGGACTAATGTATGACTAATTGATAGCAAACTTAATGTAATGTTCTAATGGCCTGACTCTATCAAAATGAAAAGCATCACAACTGATACTACTTTTTGCATAAATTTTTGCGAATTAGTTATTAGTAACCATTCAGTGGACAGTTATATTACAATTGATAGGCGGAGTGGAACCGTAAATGGAGTTGTTATGGAAACTCGTTTTTAGGTGTACTTTACTATACGTGACCGAACTAACCATACCATCCAACCCATCCAACCCAACCGATTGCAAAATTAAAGCTTATCTCTCGAGAGATACTTCAAACCAAACAGTTTATACAGTGTAGTGAATGTAGACATTGACTGCTATTGAAACAAATCTTACAGAGAGTGTTGGCAACACATACTGAAACACATTTTGTAGAGTAAAGCATTTCTAACTGTTCACTGCATTTAGGAAAGCAATACTCTTCTGTCCTCTAATACATGTAATACAAACAGGACATACCGTCAATCATGACATGATTGTGGACAGTGACTACATAACCCATAGCACCCATAGCCTCACCCCATATACCTATATCCAACAAACCTTGAACTAAATGGATTGAAGCAAATCATTAAAATTCAAAAATATTTTCATTACTACACATTCGACTCATTATCTGAAAATATATTTGTTTTCATTTCATTACCGTTTCAAATGAAAACCATTTTAGAGTAATTGCGATAAAAGTCATTATAACTGTAATTAATTAATAAAATAATATTAACTAAATAAAAACTTGTAAATTTTGCGCATTTCAATATTTTATGTTAAATAATAGCCAAAAAAGCAATACATCTTACATTTTTACATTTTAGACAAAGGTGGTAAAACTTAGATTACTACTTTCAATTATTACTGTATTATTATACAATAATTGTTATATCATAGGAATTCAAAGAATTGAAAGATTTCAAATAATGTATTGCAGTTTCTACTGGTAATACATTTATAAAGTTGCTTATGGTTAATCAAATGATTACATTTTTGTATATTATACTGTAAGTATACAAAACAAGAGATCATTTATTTAATTTAAATATAGTTTATACTTATTTCAAATTCAAATTTCGAAGATAATTTAAAAATAATAAACAGAATATAATGGTGTTAATCTATTTTATAATATTAAATATTACATATGTTGTATAGCTTTTACATTGTACATTAATACCGGTACCAACTTTTTTATGGATTGGGATTGAATTATAAATATATTAAATATAATATTATAATTTATTATAATAATAAGTAAATGTCTACCAAAAACAGGTTTAACCTAAAACTATTTATTTTCTTGTACACTTTTCTGTGCAATGAATTAAGTTAATAACTAAATAAATTTATGCATTAATGCATTTAAATTGGTGTAAGATTTGTAGATGTATTGATAAACTGATATTATTGGCACTATTCTGAATAGATGTGATGAATGCATGGAATTACAGCTAAACTACTAAAGTNGATGTATTGATAAACTGATATTATTGGCACTATTCTGAATAGATGTGATGAATGCATGGAATTACAGCTAAACTACTAAAGTAATAAGTATTGTGAAATCATGAAAAGTGGTACAAATTCAGTATATTGTGTACGAGAGTGTATTGTACAGTATTGCTGGTAATAACATAAAGCATATAAAATATAATATAGAATATAAAAGCACTTCAAACGAATTGGGAATTCATAACACATTCGCATAACTAATACGTGATTCACAGCATATGAATGCATATGAATGACCGCATATTTTGACTGACACTGCAATCAATCTATTTATTGCAACCTTTTTATCGATATTCACACACAAATGTCTGCTCTCTCTCTCTCTCTCTCTCTCTTTATTCCATATAAATTATAATCTTTTATTAATTTATTATCTTATAAGTAATTACAGTAGTAATAATAACATTAAATTATTTGCATATTTAATAGGGCTAGTCAATTAATATACCAGTACTACAGCTCTAAATTTATAAATAATTTTAAAATCAAAAAATCTGTTATAAATATTGAAAACGTATATAATATACCGTACTATATTAAGTTATTATATGATGATTATAATGATATTAAATATTTTCGTGCTGTATGAACTCTTCATTAGAATGCTAAACAATACTGTACTGAGTTTACAAGTCATTTGAAAAAAGAGCCAGGTATATTATTATGTTATGATTATTTAAACCGGTAACAGATATATCAAATAATCCTTAACAAGATGCTGTTTAATTATTGAAATTTTAAATTAAACCATATTAATATTATGTTAATGTGTTACAAAAGTTAGCATTTCTTAAATTGTTTTTGATATTTATAAATCAAATTAATTTTAAGATATATTTAGAGTACAAAAGTAGATTCCAATTAATAAAATATAATAAAATATTTGGCACTGACATAAACAAAACATGGTAACAGTAATATAGAGAATGTTCACTAAAATTATGTTTGAACATAGCCTAAAATATAAAACCGATAATTATACTCAATTCTAAGTTCTATAACAACAACTTATAACTGTATATAAATTAAAGTTATACAGCTTTAGATGCTATACTAATCGTAAGTTATCACTCAAATCATATGAAACATAAACCAAAAAATATATTCTACTAAAAATCAACAAATTTAATGTTGAACTGAGATTCAGTGTTGGATTATATATAATGAGCACAACTATTGATTGTCATTCAACTCAACTAACGGTGCAATCGATTCCATTTTTGGGAGTTAAGTCCAGAGTGAGAGTGACGGCTCGGATCAGGTAAGTCATTGTCCCGTAATTGCCAGACGGGGCGCTGTCGTAGAAGTGCTGCAATGGATTGGTCACAGAGTACAAGACTATAGTATCTTCAATTAAATCAAACGACTAATGAATGCTAACCTGACATATGTTTGCAGCGCCGCCACAATAAGTGATGCGTTGATTGGCATTACAGGCACAACAGAGAGTGGCGTCGCCGTTGACCGACCGCTGAAGCAAATAAGGGTCAGTGGTGTGACGACAACACACTAGGAGTGCTATACTATCATACCTGGTCCTCGAGGAAGATCTGGTTAGCCCTGTGCACCAACTGCTCTATGTTTATAATACCGCCCAATGTTTTGACGCATTCGTGTTCCACCAGAAGAGTCAACACCATTAAGGCCTCGACCATCAGCTGTCTGTACTCGGGCTGAGGCACACAATTGAGAACAGATTCGGCCTGAAGTGCAAACTTGAGTTCTTCGGATGTCATCTCTCGAGTCAATTGTTGCATAAGAATGCGACCCTCAATAGCAATGCCCTGACACTGGATGCGAGTAATGATTGACTTAACAGTTATGATAGCAATGAATTAGTGACGACTGAATGACTCACTCTCTCGAGAACAGACCAAACCCTGGTGTAGAAGCCAATGGGAACGCGATTCAAAGCGCCATCAAGTCGTCGGCGTCTAAGCCACTGTCCCTGACGGTCCTCCTCTAAGCCAAAGTCCTCAACACTCGTTACACTGTTCTCAGCGATGGGCGAAATGTTGTCCACAAAACTCTTTTTACTGAGCATTCGGTCGTTCATAATAGAGACTCGACCGCTGCGTGCTGTGGAAAGGCATCAATTTGTACAATACTTGTCAACACAACAGTTAGTAGTTGTATATAATTACCACTTTTGACGGTAAACTCTTTGCCACTAAGAATGTGATGCAAAAGTGTTTTCATTTCATAAGGACTTAAGTTGAGTAAATGGTCGGAGGCCTCTTCGCCGTCACACTTGAGAGCGCGGGCCAACTCGGATGCCATCACTTGTATGATGAGTCCAACTCTCAGCCGAAGCATCTCTTGGAATAATTGCGGTTCAGTTCGTATAAACATTGCTAAGTAAATGAGCAGTTCCTGAGTCAACATGGCTGTGCTCTGATCGCCGCCATGAGTCTGATCAATGATTTGGCGCAACTCTTTGGCAGGCAATGGCCTAATGATGGCCTGTTCGTAATGGGGAGGCATTCCAACCGTAATCTGCTTCTGTCGGACCAACATATCGGCCACAGATTTGGCCAAATCTTCAACTTGTTTGCCGAGCATTCCCGCCGAGTGTCGCACTAACGCCCACTTCCTTTCACTCGAAGCCTTCTCGTAGAGCTCTTTCAACAGATCTCTCACTTTCATGGGTCGCTCACCGCCTAAACCTGTTTCCCACGACAGGCCTCTAAGTATTGAAATAATGATGAATCGCATGGAAATGTGTATTATTAGCGCTATATTTAATACTTATTAAAAAACAAATAGTGAAGAATGTCCGCCTGTTCCTCTAACCCCTCGGCCTCTCTATACATATTCAACAGCTCCTCGTCTTTGATATCTTCATTGATATGCAATTCAGATAATCCTCGCAAACGTTTTTCAATGGGCTTCGAGACATCCATTTTGGTGAACCCGAGAGTGTTGTGGGCGCCGTCCAGGCTATCACTGCTCTCTGCCATTGAGGCAATGGGTTCGTGCAGTGGAGACGACTGAGTGGATGAGTGTTCCGATGAGGGTTTCGAAGCACTCGACTGGGTCTGAGATTTACTCTCCAAATAACTAGATCTCAATTGAGTTAAATCTGATTCAAGTAAATAATTATAAATACGGTATACAGTATAGTAAAGCAATGGCAAAGCACACTGACCGGGATCGTATTGATCCACTTGTATAGAACGAGTCCTTTTAATAATACCGGCGACGCCTGACTTTCGGGACCGAATACTAATCTTACGTTTTGCCGATACTTGACGAGAGATTTTGCGGACAAAAGGTTTCTTGAGTTCCTTTTCGAGGAAATCTTTGACACTATCGTTGAGGCCCTCGGGATCGCCCTCTTCGGTGTTCGACAAAAAGCTAAGACTTGTTATACAAGAAGTACTCAAAAAGTCGTCAAGTGTTGCCAAAACAACTCTCGTTCCGTTCAAATAACCGCTTTTCAACTTTTTTATGGTCGAAATGATAGAGACCGGGATTCTGTCGTTTTCTATAACACAAATATAAATACATTTACCGGTATTATAGATATTGTACTGTAGAGTATAACCAGTACTGTAACCACTCCAGTATCGTAACTGAAGTATAATATGGTAACAATACCTCCAATAATGCGAGAGCTGAGGGGAATGACAACAGTAGGTCGGCCTAACATTCGCCAATTGACTTTCAAGAATGCGATTTCAGACTTAAACGTATCCAACATTAAGTTAGTGTCGGAAGCGATATAATATCGGTGCTCATCCACGAACTGCTCATAATAAATGAGATGAAGACAATGAGATGCTATCGACTACTTGTGCACCAAATCAAAGCAAAGCAAACCTGAGGAGTAAAGGCAAAGATCTTGTCCTGTAATGAATACAATTTACTTGTACTTAAAAGTCCCACTTCTCGTGATTGACGGCCAGAAAGCGCTAATTTTTTGTTATAACCTAAATATGCGTACAAATGACTCAACACTCTGGCCGGTTGTACTTCGATAGGCGCCACTTCTTCCAAAGTCTTGATATTAATGTCGTGTTGAATGAGTTTCTCCTGAACTTTCGAGTCTTCGGCTAATATGACAACTAAACGGTTCAAACAAAAGAGGGATCAGAAAGTGAGAAGACTTGGACACCGAGACTACAAACCCTGGACCACAACATCGGGTTTCTTTTCAGCGCCGAGTCGTCTGTTGAGAGGGTCGAGCTCTCCCGGCGCTATAAAGCCTTCTTGGAGTAGGCGGCCCACAATGTATAACGACTGCGCCCACATGAAAGGACACGACCCAATGGCATACCTCTCCTGACTGTGCGGTTCTCTGTATTCCTGTTCGACCAAATGTCCGGGAATGGCATACATCTCAGGCACCAGCTTAAGGCCATCATCGGTCTTGACTAACAGGCCTTCCAGTGCTTCTGAGTATTCCTCGACCTATAAGTTGGCACCAATGATGGCGTAATCATATACTTGATGGCAATATAGGGGTAATCATAGAATTGATTGCAAACCATATCTCTGTCGCCATTGAAGAGTCCGTCGAGAATGAGATAGCAGAAGAAGAGCGGCCATTCGCACTCTATGCTCTCAAACACTTTCAGTTCCGACGGCTCGTAGTAGAGTCGCGTCGGATCCTCTTTAGCCGTACGAAAGCCGTCCCTAAGGAAGCGTTTGCAGCCATACCTTCCCTGAAGTTTTTGAATTATATTATTACGAGTCGTTTTGATGAGCTCTTTGTCCTCGAGAGCAAAGGCAGGGAATCCGATGATCGACAGGAGAGCGCCGTCCACTTCCTTCGAGTTGGACTCTCGAGGAAGCATTGACTGCAACACTGCGTGACATTTCTGCGCCTCGTCTGCCAACACGTGAATCACAGACGACGGGCCCCCTCGCCCTCCAAACAGATCCAATTCGTTCATAGCCTCGAGCGCCGCTTTGGCCATACCTTTCGTGACAACATATCATTGCAGACACAGTGAGCCAATACTACGACATACATACCAATAGAGCTGGCATTGAGCTCCGGGAGTCCGTGATTGGTTTTGTCGCCCCTCTCCCATATGCCGTAGTCTGGGATACAATACGCAGACTCTATGTAGAAGACCAGGTTCTGGACGAACGCCACTTCATCCAAGTTGAAGATAATCTGCAGACCAGAGGCTGTCATTTGTGCCAAAACCAGAAGGAAGAGAGAGGTGGCGTCCAACTGGAGGTGTCCCCACTCGTGGTCGCCAACCACTGTCAACATCGTGTCCGACGAGTACTTGGCGTGCAGTGAGTCCGACACCGATTGGGTCTCTTTGAAGGCCTCGAGTTTGTCCTTCTGTCGGATCATTGCCATCAACAGCCCTCTCATCAGTTTGACGCACGACTGCTCCAACTCATAGGTCTTAGCCCTGTCCTCATCCAAGTCGGTGTTCTTCTTGTAGGCCATACTGAGGGCCCAAACGGCAACGATTGAGTACACGTTGTCCCGAACCCACGCGTGGTCTGAGCCACCGGTGCCACCAGTGCTCCCATTGCGGTGATAATGACTGGTCGGTAGAAGACCTGTCACTGCATTCTGCAAAGATATGGTGTTGTAGTGGTGTTGATGTCATGGAAGTGGTCCTACACCAGTATGGACTACCAGGTTTTACCAAGCCATCTGTTAGGAGACCATCATTAGCTCTGCTTGGGGCCTTAACGAAGCTGAAGAGTAGCAAGCACAGAAGTCACAGACAGTTGACTACCGAAATTTGCAGACATTAAGTCATCAATGTTTCACTTGTTGTCAAAACACTTGCAATCAATGAATGAATGAATGAAATATAGATTTAGGATTCAGTCAATGATTTCACACAATATTAATATTAATATTAATATTTGCTTTCATTTGTCTCGAAATGCTTTACAAAACATTTGACAACAATAATTGAATGACTTGAGCGTATATAAAGGTGTTGCGCAATCATTGGCATATAATACAAAGTACTGAAACAACGGTTAAACATACATCGCATACAAGTTGTATGATACAACTGTCACTGTATTGTGTTTTTTATCATTATTTTCAATGTTGTTTCAACCGTTGTTTCAGTACTTTTTATTATATGCCAATGATTGCGTATGCCCTTTATATACACTAATGTCATTCAATTGTTCACAAGAGAAGTGTAGTTGAGTTGAAGTGAAGGACCTTTTGATGCAATGAATGCATTCATATGAATGGAAGTCGTGTATGCAATAGTACCCAATGAGACACATCATAACATACAGTGTGTCCTTGAATTAGTTGTCTCATTGAATCTAACTGTGGCTCAACTAAAGGGGTAAGGAATCTGATATTTAGAAATATACCATCATATTCTAAACAAAGTTTTTAGTTTAGCTAGTTAAATTAGGCGAATGGACTTCACTATTAGAAAAAGAATATTCTTTATAACCAAAACCATAGAATTTCTCATAACAGCACAATATAAATATTAATGAATAATTATATTTTCATTTATAGTGTCATGGATGTGGTCATACCTGATGGTCCAAAATGGTTCGGTAGACAATCCTCTGGTAGTAATCGAGACGAACCCCGGAATTGCTTCGACTTCTCATCGTTCGTGTCTTCAGTGTCTGTCAACTGATGGCTTGTTTGCAGACATTAAGTCATCAATGTTTCACTTGTTGTCAAAACACTTGCAATCAATGAATAAATGAATGAATGAATGAAATATAGATTTAGGATTCAGTCAATCATTTCACACAATATTCATATTAATATTAATATTAATATTTGCTTTCATTTGTCTCGAAATGCATTACAAAACATTTGACAACAATAATTGAATGACTTGAGCGTATATAAAGGTGTTGTGCAATCATTGGCATATAATACAAAGTACTGAAACAACGGTTAAATATACATCGCATACAAGTTGTATGATACAACTGTAACTGTATTGTGTTTTTTATCATTATTTTCAATGTTGTTTCAACCGTTGTTTCAGTACTTTTTATTATATGCCAATGATTGCGTATGCCCTTTATATACACTAATGTCATTCAATTGTTCACGAGAGAAGTGTGTTGAGTTGAAGTGAAGGACCTTTTGATGCAATGAATGCATTCATATGAATGGAAGTCGTGTATGCAATAGTACCCAATGAGACACATCATAACATACAGTGTGTCCTTGAATTAGTTGTCCCATTGAATCTAACTGTGGCTCAACTAAAGGGGCAAGGAATCTGATATTTAGATATATACCATAATATTCTAAACACAGTTTTTAGTTTAGGATCAATTTAATCCGCTTACCTGAAGTGATAATCTTTTTCTTATAAGAAATATTGGTTTTGGTATCTTAAAGAGTATTGTCGTGTTATATTTATAATTACTTATTAATATAAAAGTAAATATCACAGTATGTCAATTTATAATCTATACATTTTGTATGATTCATATTTGTGATTAAAAATATTCAAACTCAATGTTATATAGTATAACAGTTTTTTATGCAAAATTATGATATTTGAATATAAAGAATATTCTTTTTTTAATAGTGAATATATCCATTCGCCTAATTCAACTAGCTAAATGTGTTTAGAATTTAATATAGAATATTATGGTATATTTCTAATTATCAGATTCCATACCCCTTTAGTTGAAAGCCAGAGCAAGCCATACTCCCGTTCCCTCCCGACCCCGACTTCCGTCCTAAAGCTGATCGGGACTTTCGCCTACTCCGGTCGGGACCCGCCTACTCCCGACTTCTGCCGACTGGTAACAAAATGCTAAAATAAAATCTAGTTTTTGCTTTTTAAAACTCATTTTCAATACATTTGTGTGAAAGCATGGCTTAACCTAATATTTTCACTTAAAATTAAATTTTTAACCCAAAATGAAATATTTAACTAAATTTGCATACTTAATTATTATAAAAAGACCTAAACAAGTAATTTTATAAATTAAATATATAGTTAACATGAAATATACACAAAATATAACAATAATACAGTATTCTCATAAAACAGAGGACAGACACTCCACTTATTGTACGGTTGGTCACACTTTCTGATAGCTATCTTTTATAAGTTTATCTAATTTATAAAAGAGCAAAGTTATCCAGATCACTTTGCCATTTCTCTGTGCACTATGACCCATATACAGTACAGTATTGGTGGATTAGATTCATGATTGGATTACTTGTGTAAAGATTTAGTGAACAGGTATTTGAGTGGAGAGACAACACATTAATTATATGGCCTTTGGGTGAACACAATATCCACTTGTGTTGACACAACTTTGCCATTAATAATACATTTATAATTATAGTAATCTCTTAACAACAGCCAAATTCTATTGAATACTACTTTATGTCGTAATACTACAGTCAATAGTATATAGAGTACAGTACAGTACAGTACAGTACAGTACACATTCCACATAGAAATGCAAATTCATGTGTTTTAAACTTTTAAAATTTATTATTTCATATTCCACTCTACTATCAATGGATATCCACTCAAATATATGTTGTTTTAATCAATTCATCAGTATATTCGACATTTTTATAGTTATAAATTGTCAATAATTTATGAAATACAGTATATTAGATTAACTTCGGGTTATAAGTCAACTATATTTGATGTAAATTTCGATATTCAGTCATATGAATAAAGGATTTGATTTTAAGCTTATTAATACTCAAAAATATTGTTAATTATAAATCTAGATAATTCCAATTGAATTATTAATTATTATTATACAATAGAATATTAACTATAATATGCACTATATTACATACTCTAATGTAATAATTTTAGAAAATATTTATAAAAAATTGTTTATTACAAATTATATGATAGGAAATTAAGGGAATGTTATACTGTATATCATACAAAGCCTTAATTTGTCCTCTATATTATAGACTATATAAAATGGTAACGGAATCAATTAAAATAATATAATACAGTGTTCTAGTAAATTAGAATTAGAATCAAAATGACATCGTTAAATACCGGCAACCGAAATACCGTAGTATATTCAATATACAGATATAATATTACTGTATCTTAATCATATACAGTATTAAACATAATTTAAACAATTAATCTTGGTATGATGTAAATGTAAGTTTTAACCGTTTTAACCAAAATTCTTTAAGTATAAATATTTAAAATCCTAGAAAAAATGTGATGCATATGAATATAAGAATAAATTATACATAAATGTTATATCAACTTGTAACTTTAAAAAAGAAATCAAACTAAAACATTACAGTACTAGTATGTACAGTGTACTACAATTATGCAATTATGTATAATGTATAATATTATTATTAAAATACATGAAAACATACAATATTTCTAATTTCAGCAAGGATCTTTAATTTATTGTGTATTTCCAAACAATTTAAATGGTAGTCTATTAATAATGCATTTTCTAATATTGATTCTCTTTTTTATTTGTAGAATTCATAATTTGTTCAGAATAATCTATTAAAACAAAAACTGAGTTTGCAGGTATGCTCATATAAAGTAAATGTCTATCAAATTGATAGAATTCTTTTAAATGAATAAATTATTAAATATTTGACATTCCTGTGATGATTTTTAATTAAATATTCATATTATTACATATTTTGTTGCATATATAAAATGAGAGAACATCAAAATCCCGAAAAATGAAATCCTGAAAAACAAAATCCCGAGACATATAATCCTGAAAATCAAAATCCCGAAAATATAATCCCCAAAATAAAACAATCGTATTATTAATATTGAATAGGGATCAGCCAGCACATCACATATTACATTTTGTTTCAAATAAACCAAAGAGCAGTCTTTTAGAGCTTTCGTTTACAGTATATCTAATTATTTAGTTGTCGTAATACTGACTGAGCGTTTATTTCTTATATATGCCAATAAATTTCAATTCAATCAATCACTTCAATTATATTGTTTCTCATCTCCAAGAATATTTTGTAAACATTTATTAATATTTCAATTTGTAATATAATTATATTGTATATACACTACTGTAAATTACATTATACTGTATAGAACTCACAAACACAATAATTGTAGTAATAATCGATTAACATTATATTTACATTATATTTATAACATTATTCTATAAGTTAACATGCTGTATACCTTATATTCTATTAAAGCATATGATATATTGTGTGCTAAAATAAAATAATTATACATCATAGGCAGCAATTTACATATTTTAATGAGAATCACAATCTAGTAAAACATTTATACATTTTACAAATTAATTATATATGCAATCAGTAACAATTAGTTAATACAGTATCAAACAACTGACCCAACATTAATACTGTAACACAGAATAGACTCTACAGTCAGTATACTACAGTATGGAGAATGATAATGACTCATCATTAATGAGATATTCAATATTAATAATACGATTGTTTTACTGTATTTTCGGGATTTTGTGTGTATACGATATAAAATATATAGGAATAATGTTAAAGTAAAACTAAAATACACAAGAAACACAACACAAAAATAATAAAATACTGTAACTTAGTTAGTAAAATGTGATGGCTGTTTTTATTGAGCTCAATAAGACTTTTATATGAATGAATACCGAACAATGAGTTTTATGAATGATAACTTGAAACCACTATTTAAATTTGTGCCCATTTTATTATATATAATTTTCATTTCATTGGGAGATGTATTGAGAAAAATGATATCAAATGACATATGATTTAATCAAATCTTGTATCAACTCTTTACTTATTATTTAGAATATGAATGACTTGGAAGCTGTATAGAGAAATGATTGATTCAGTGAACATAAACTTAGATCATTAGACCATTTCTGGATAATTGGTCTCTACATTAAATTTTATAGTAAATCTACAAATAATTTATACTATGATATATACCAGTACATAATATGTTTTGACAAATACTGTATATGAGCATAACATGTGTTTGGGTTTCAGATCTTTATTCAATTCTGTTATTGGAATATAGAAAAAGTTGTTTAGACTTATTATAGACTACAATACTGTATACAGTATACTATTTCTAAATATATATTGTTTTATATTTTGAATTCAAATAAATGAGATGAAAATATTGTACAATACTCATCTACTCTACTCAACTACTGTAGTAACATCCTATGAATCCTACGAGAGTTATAGATGTTTGAGATTCTAGTGTTTTATATATTTTAAAAGACCACAATAATCAGTAGTGCATTCACAAAAAAGATTTATATTTTTATATAAATTTGTTGCTTTACTTTTGTGCATCTCAATTGTCATACATATCCTATTTAGTGTTGCCAACTACTCAATGTTGACCACTGACTTATAAGTTCGTGCAAATGGAAGTCCCTTAAACGAAATATTTTAAATAAACATATAAAAGGGTATAATATAATTTTAATGTTTTTAAACTCGAAACATACTTCTCATTATAAATGAAATGAGCAGCATATCATAAATTCATAAATTGAAATTATTATTTACTTTACTTAAATAGCTCAACCTTTGATATTATGATGAATATAGTACTATAAGAAGTTTATTTACACCCAAAATATCTGTAAAACCTTCTCTTACTTATTACTTTTGCTTTCCCTTTATGTATGGTATAAGTGGTCACTCGGCTCTTTATAGCCAATTCCATAGCAACACAAATATAAAAAACTGATCAAGTACACTTTAAATCTGGTAATACCTGTAAAACAGTAATATAGGTACGATGTATTGATACAGTATACAATGGTCAAATAATGTATTTTTTAGGTTTCAATTATTTGAAT